GAAAAAGAATTATGGCTTAGGTGGGGTGGGGACCTCATTCCTTACAAGATATCAAGGGCTTCAGAATCCCTTTTTCATTTGTTAGCATTGCCTAATTGTAGAATTTTATAATGTCTATCTTCCTGATATGCTTGGGGGGATCTTGAAGAACAGAGAGGTGTCTGCTCATCCCTGTTTCCCAGCACTCAATGTCCAGCACCCAGGGCCACGTGCTTGACACTACTGTTCCATACTTTCATGGTCTGCTTTGCTCACAATGAGTTCCTAGTGAGCAGGGGCCAAGCTTGATTCATTTTTGCATCTTTTCTGATGTGGTGCCTTGTGTAGTATGTTTTTGACTGATAAACAGATGTGATATTCATTTAGTAGTTGGACTAAGATTTACTTCCTGGGGGAAAAGTGGGTTTTTGAGCCCAGAAGAAGTGATCCGAATTCCCAGGTTGGCTTTGTTTGAGAGGTTCAATCCTGAAATTCTTCTCTGAGCTTCATTTGTAAAATGAGAATAAAATATTCCAACCTTGCAGTAGTATTGGGAGGTTAAGTGAGATAATATGAGAAGACACACCCAGAGTCTCCCCTTCTCTACAGTAATTTACAAACATATGGTGCTGGGTGTGGTCTGACAGACTCAGGAGGTGACTTGACATTGATGCTGTTCAAGTCGCTTACTGTTTAGTAGAGGAGATAACTGTGCAAAGTAAATGCAAGAAATAATAAACAATGTTTAACAAAAATTGGTAAATTCCATATATGGGGAGTGTCTTGGGCTAAGTTTGAATTAGGACTGAAGAAGTTTTCTTATGGGCCATCACGGTCATAATCTGTCCCTGGAATCCCCATTTTCCTTCAAAGCTGATGACTCACATATTGGGTCAAGTTGGAGTAGCTGGCAACATGCCCTAACATAGCTCCCCACTGGGAAGCCGGGCTGCCTGAAACTTAGGCTCACTGAAGACCTCGCTCTTGCAGTGAGGCTGTCTAGGGTAACTGAGGTACCTTCAGACATCTTGTTGGGTCCTGCTTCTTGACCTCTCACACTCTGGCTCCCAATGTGGAATGCTCTCTCTTCCCTTCCATTCTGTCCATCTAAATTCTTCATGTCCTTCAAAACCAAGTTCAAACTCCACTTCCTCTCTGAAGCTCTCTTGGGATGTGCCTATGAGGTGCCAAAGACTTGCCAGATTACAGTGGGAGAGTATTATCTGTTTGGACCTCACTTTTCTCTTCTATAGTAAAAGAGATTGAGGAGATGATTTCTAGATTTTCTTCGGTTCTATTATCTTCTGTCCAGTTATATTCAGGAGTCAATCTATGCTAGCACTGCACCATGCACTGAGGTCACAGAAGTGAACAACACTGCTTCTCCAGGAGAGGCCTGACTAGTGGAGAAGGCGGACAAGCAGGATGCCAGGATGGTCCCACAAGGATGCGCCCTGCTAGAGGCATGTACAGAATGTAGCCAGGAGCTCACAGAGGAAGCAGCTCTGCCTCAGGTGAAGAAGAGGACAGGGAAGCAGGCAGTGTGACATTTGGACTAAGTTTTGAAAGCTAAGTAGGAGTTCACCATCCACAAGATAAAAGGGAGAACATTCCAGGAAGAGGGAAAAGAATGAACAGCTAACTTATCCAGGATGAAAAGCAGGGCATGAAATGGTAGAAAGCAAATGCTCACAGGGGTAGGGGCATGAAAGCAGGCAATAAATGAAATTTCAAATATAGGCCAAGGTCTTGAATAGCAGGAAGGGAAGTTGAAATGTTAGTCTGAAGGTAATGGGGAGCCATGGAAGGTTTCTGAGAGGGCATAATCAAACACATAGTTAAGTGCTTACTGTAGTCTTTTCAGTAGTGTTACATTTGCACATCTGCATGCCTTTTTCCTCCTGATAGGTGGGGCTAACTATAAGCCTCCAGCACTCAGCACAGGGCCTGGCACATGATGGACTCCAGTGCATTGAGTAGCTGGATTCCTCTTCACACACATATGTACACACCATGACCTCAGCTTGCAGCCGCTCTTCTAGTCAGGCACTGGACTGAGCCCACTTTATCCTCAGAGACCAGCCCACCCTCAACACTTAGGTTCTGACTACCCACAGAAGCACAATTGGTCTGTCCATTTTTCCAAAATATCCTCCTTGATGGGGCATTTGAGGCTTTAGCTCTAGAATTGTTGTTGTGATCAAAATGCATGGGGAGGTCTCCGCTCTGGTCATCAAGGCCATGTCCCTGAGCCTGCTGCCCCTCCCCAGGGCCCTGTTCTGAAGGGCAGCCCAGCACCAAGGATGCCAACCGGCTTCCACCAGCGTGTGGGTGGAAAGTGACATCTTGTAATTATCCATAGAGATGGGAGAAAACAAAGATTAATTTTGAGTCAAAACATGTAATTTTCCTTTAAAGCCAGAACTGCTCTTTTACTTAAGCTATTTGATGCTTGGGTGGAAAATAATACAAAAAAAGGGAAGAAGTATTCAAATCCCAAATTAGAGCTCAGAGCCTTATATTTCTGAGAATTCATTCTTAAAGGGTTACCAACCAATTTAGAGCTAAGTGGTGTTCATAGTTTGTTAGAGAAGGAGGTGTGGGGTTAGGAAAGGGAGTTAATTTTCCTTTCTTAATTTAAGGGTGGCTGTATTTACCTCGAGTCTTCGAGGCTGTGGACTAGTGAGGAAAGAGCTCTCCAGCTTTTTTCTAAACAGAGCTCCACAGCTCACAGAAAGGAGGTGCCGGTGCCCTGAGCAATTGAAATGTGAGCCCTGAGAACTCGCCTGCACCCTTTGGACCCAGCTTCAAGCTCCCTTACTGAACAGCATCTCCAAGAGCTCCTTCCCCACCCATCTGTGCACATCAGACTTCAGGGAAGTTCTGGGCTCCAGGCCTGACTCTGACCCCAGGACCCTGAATAGCCTCTGCTCCCTGGGCCTCAAGGTCCTCATGGGTATCATGAAGAGTGAGGTGCTTGCTAAAGTCTCCCTGAGTGTCAGCTCCAGGTCCCTGATGGAAGACCATGCAACGTGCCAGAAAATGTGGTTCAGGATCAAGGTGATTTTGATTTAGGTAGGCTGACAGAGGACCTGAAAGAGATAATCCCCAAATTAACTTGTAAATGAGATTTCGAGTATTCTTTTTGAGTTTTATAAAGCTTTAAAACTTTTAAGATCTTTAACTAATCAAGAATGACTTCTAAGAATGAACTGAGCACTTTCCTCTGGAGGTGAGCCCCTCAAAGACAGGGTCAGGCTGCAATCATATTCAACTCTGTCTAGCTCCCGCCCTGCCAGGAGCCTGGCATGAAGGGCTATCTTTCCTAGGTGAATGCATGAATGAGTGAATGAGTGAATGTATTCATGTATGCTCAGGGCAGGGTAGGCACTGTAGGGGCACAGAGAAGAAACAGAGGTGATATTCCTGCAGGAGTTTTTAATACCCCAGGATGGGGGCACAGGACTGCAAATGATGTGTGAGTAACCTGAGATGGGGCCTCATCTGAGCATACGTCCTTCAGGCTCTATGTGGACCTGGGGTTCAGAGAAGGTGGGTCCTGAGATATCATCAAGACCAACCAAATAGGTCAAGGGACTTGTCCTAGGTCACCATGAGCTGAGACTGCAACATAGAAATGAGAGGAGATGAAAATAGTTTTTGAGCATCTATTAGCTACTGGGCATTCTACTATGCTTGTATCTCATCTTCAAAACCATCTTGAAAGTTTCTCCATTTAGTAGATAGAAGAGAAAAAAGCTTCAAGAGGCCAAGGAACTTGTCTAAGATCCCATAGCTCCTATAAACCTGAGAGATTTGAACCTACACTGATGAACCTCCACATGAGATAAAATTTAGATGGTTCTGGAACCATAGAAACCTAGGACCAAACCCTGGCTCTGCCTAAAAAAAAAAAAAAAAAAAAACCAACCAAACAAACAAACAAAAAAAAACCTCTTTGACCTTGGGCAATTCTCTTCACCTTTCTGAGCCTCCATTTCCTCATTTGTAAGATTGGAAACAGAATGCCTAAAAGGAATAAATAAGATGCTTTCCATAAAGTACTTCATATAAAAAATAACAGTAATTTTTTTTAATTAATGACAGAGTAGGGAGGAAGGTACATCAGTGCTAATGTCTGAGGCACTAAAATATATGGGCGAGGTCACTGGAAAGGAGTGACCTCGCAGGAGGTGACCTGGCAGGAGCAGGGAGTTGAATATCACCATGTCCTTCCAGGAGATTGGGCCACTAAGTAAGTAGGAAATGAGGCCCAGAGGTAGGGCAGGGTCGGCCCATTCTAGATGCCATTGGATTCACTGCTCACTGGGCTCACCACCAACATGGAGATTTCCCAGCCGTCTTTCCTCACTGAACCTGCAAGTTAGCCCCCCAGAGGACCCGAGGAAGGATTTCTGAGGGTGTGTCCTTGTTAGCCCCAAACCTCCAAGTCTATGTGAATGGGACTATGGTGTAGTGTCAGGATATATGAACACCTGGCACTGTGCTGGGTGCTTTATTATAGATCTCACATGAGTCTGCAGTGTGTGCCACTGTACCCACTTTACAGATGAGGCACCCAGACCAACTTAGAGCAGGGACTGACCTCAGATGCCCAGCACCACCCAGCCTTGTGGATTACTGTGTTAGTCCCAGAAATGCGACCACCTCCTCCCTGTCTGAAACAGGGTGTCATTAGAGTGCATTGTTATGCCAACTCTCTGGGGACCTGGGGCTCAGAACTGTAGGACTCGCTTCAGTGAGGATCATTGGGACCAACCAGGTGAGCCAAGGGCCTCGTCCTGGATCACCTGCGGCTGGTTGGAAATCTGCAACTACAACCCAGAATCTGAAGGAGGAGAGACTTAGTGATATTTGTGTTCAGGAATATGCTCTTTGGATTCATGGGCTCTGTGGCAAGGCTGGGGCTAGCTCTCCTGTGGTACAGGTGGGAAAAGAAGAAGAGGGTAAAGGAAGCCAGCACCAAGACTCCAGCCCGACTGCTCTGCTGTGCCACTTACCGCAGCCTGGGCACGGGAACTGCCATCTTCTCCACCAGAGGGTTCAGCCGGTAATAATCCAGAAATGTTCTTGCCACGTTCCTCCCCAGCTTCATATCTGCAGGTACGTGTGTTAAGGAGTGACTTCAAGGAGAAACTGAGACTGAGTGAAAAGGGGACTTGTGACAAAAAATGACAACAGCAACTAAGGCAAGTAATACCACTCATTTTTCTAAGGTTGGAGTTTGTTCTGTCTTTTCAGATCCTCGCCAAATGGCGATCACTATTAAATTTGATCTATTATTAAATGGTAATCACTGTTGCTATTCTCACTTTATAGATAAGGACATTGAAGTGCACAAAATGCACAAAATTTAAGTAATTTGCATAAGAACACAAAAATGGGAAGGGGAGGCTCTAGGACAGGGTCTGGATACCCTTACCTCAAAGTCTGTGCACAGAGCTTTGAGATGAACAGTGGCCCTTTTGAAATCACTGGGCTTCCCTGGTCTGATTTCAAGTGTCTCAGGATGAAGTCAGATGAGCGAGGCCCAAGGGCAAGAGAACCTTTATTGCATTTAGATCAGAGTTTACCTGACCTTCAGGGATTAGTCAGTCATCTGCTTCAGTAATCTCAGGTACAATGGTAAAACCCTTTGACTCTAAATGATATCCCCATTCCACCTTGAAATGCAAGGATAAGGATTTATGACCAACTTATTAAAGCATAAACTCCCCAGGGAAGGTGAAAGGGCCAATTCCATATTGACCATTAACACACTAGTAGGAATCTCTTCCACAGCAGAGTATCTGCCCTGCGCGTCCTCTCTTGCATCTCTGGGTTCTCATACATGCTATTTCCTCTGCTTGAAGTGCTTCTCTTTTTTGCCTAGTGTGTGCTCGTCAACTCTCCAGTTAGATGATCGCTCCCTGGTAGAGCCTTCTAGGATACTCTTCTCTCCCCTCCCAGGACCCAGTGGCACCCTTTCCCCACGCTGTCATGGTTCAGAATAGATTGCATCAAAAGCATCTGTGACTTATCTCCTAGTGAGGGAATTAGGTGTTTACCACCGAACCTTAGGCGTTCCTGTCCCTTGGCCCACAGCCCCACACAGCCACGCCTTCCCCATCCTTCCCCATGAGGCCTCCTCTCTTTTGAATTTGTCTACTTCTCTCCATCCCCCAGAATAGTCTGATATCATCTTTTCCCTGAATTGCTGTTGTCTGTCCTTGTGGGCCTCCTGCTACAGGATGCCCCCTCCAGGATACTTTACACTGAGTAGCCAGAGGGTATTCTAAAATGACATCCCACAGTGCTACTCAGCTGGGTAAAATCCTTTAGTAGCTCTCAGGTGCCCTTAAGGCCCAAATTTCTGACATGATTTATCAGGCTGTCCATGGTGGGTGGGGTCCCTGGTCATTTTCTGAGCTTTGTGCTGGACCCTCCTGCCTACCACCTCCTGCCCACCTTGGTGCTGCGGTACTGAACTTCTTTTGCTGTACCCTGCATCTCCAGGACCACTGCCCCAGTTGCATGACCTACAGGGCCAGCTCGGCCTCAGCCCCCACACATCACTTCAGTTGTCATTTCCCTGGATAAGTCTTCCTTGGTGCCCCTGCTAGGATAGAGGTACCGTCTGTGTCCCCACAGCCTATCTCCCAGTTCTTCACCAACCTGACCACTTATCACATTGTATTTTCACTGTCTCTTTTCGGTAGCCCCCCATGGCCTGCTAGCTCTGTGGCAGAGGCCATATCTGACCTATCTGGTCACCCACATACTTGCCTGGCAACAGGTGTGAAATATATATTTATTGAATGTATAAACAATGGCTAATATTCATATAATGTTTAATATGTGCTCGGCAATCTTTTAAGTGCCTTATGTATACTGATTCACTTAAGCCTCACAACAGCCCCATGAGGCAGATCTATTCTTATTCTCACTGTTCAGAGAGGGTGGGGGATGGCCCCAAAGGCATCTTATAAGTTCTAGAGCTGGGGTTTGAACTTGGGCATCTTCTCAAACTGCCTCCTAGGATCACCTCCAGGATCTGCACCATTTCAGGTTCATGTTGGGGGTCCCTTGCCTGATACATGGTTGAGAACCTGAGTCTACTGCGATGACGAGACTCACACCCCTGACTTGGGAGCACGCGGTGGGGCATGCATGGTGATGCACAGAGGAACAGGACCTGAGATTGGTCCTAGGAGGTCCCTGGAAAAGGACTGTTCTCCACTGGATGATTAAGGCAGGACAGCTGAAGAGGGCCTTTCCAAGTGAAGAGAAAATGTGCACAGGGCCTAAACAGTTTCCACTACTGCCTACCCATGCCTCCACACAGCATTTTGGGAAGCCTGCACTGTGCCAGGAACTTTAGGTGGGAAGGTTCTTGTAGATCTCCATGGAGAGGACAAGTGCTGTGAGAAGAAAAGATGCAGATGTCAGGGCAATTATGCAGGCCTGCCTTTGGTGCTGTGGGGGCCTGGCTGGGCTCCTGGGCCACACTCCCTCTAGGGTCATGAGATGTACTTGCATTTGAGATGTAGCCAAGTGAGTTCTCACCGCCTTCTTCAAGAAGTCCCCAGCTGCAGTTGGACATAGCCTGAGACATGAAGATGAGCATTTATAAAGCACCTGCTATATGCCTGGCACTGTGCTGGGTGCTCAGCTTACACAAGCATTTTAATCTGCAAAACAATCTGGTGGCAATGGTAATTTTATCTTCCTTTGCTAAGAAACTTGTCCAAAGCCACAGAACTGGAAGGGGTAGAGTTGGGACCCAAATCCAGGCACGTTTGACTCCAGAGCTGCCGGTTGTCCACTGCCCTGGGCTCTTTCCTGACAGGAAGGCACCTTTTCTGTCACAGCCTGAGTCATCCCAGGTCAGCCCCCCGGTGGGAGAAGGAAAAACACCAGACAAGTTGTTTGTGACAGTGAGAGGCACCGCAGGCTTGCTGTGCTCTGAGGCTGCCACCTGCTTTCTTCCTCTGGATATGGCTGACCTTCTCTGTCCCCTTCTTTTAAAAGTCTACAAGCTGGCTCTGGGTGTGGCCTCTCTGACCAGCAGACCCAGGAGGTAGTCTCACATCCAGGGCCTGCAGACGCAAGCTGGCTGCTTTAGCTCAGCCAGTCTCTGGTTGGCTGGAGGAGGCCAAATTATAGATGTGTGTGCTGACAGTAAGAGCTACAGGGCACAGAGGAAAGCAGAGGTCCCTGTGGACTGAGCTAAAAAGTCACAGAAATTTTGGGAGCAGACGTGTCTAATCCAAATCCTGGCTCTGCCACATGCTGTGCACGGCAGATTGCATTTTCCAAAGACATCTGCAAAAACATCTTCTTTCTCACGTGTGATTATCTTGTATGACCTTGATACCCCCTCCACTAAGAGTCATGGTCTAAATCCCTTCCCCTTGGATTTGCAATCAAATGAAAGGCAGAACTGGGAGAAGTGACATTGTAGGACTTCTGAGACAAGGTTGGAAAAGGCAAGGTGACTTGTACCCTGCTTGCTGGAATTCTCGAGCTGGAGTCCTGTGCCTCCTTGCAAGGAGTCTGACTGCCTCGAGGCCCTGAGATGACATGAAGAGAGAGAGGAGAGGTCACCAGTCAGCCTCTGGCTCCTCTAGCACTCTGCTGCCCCTGCTCAACCATTGTCTGGCTATAACTACACCAGGCTCCATGCTCAGACCACTCCATGAAGCCTTCACAAATTTCTGACCCACCGAGAACATGAAAGAATAGCTGCTGCTGCTGTTGTTGTTTTGCCATAAGTTTAGGGCAGGATTTCTAACACAGAACTACAGAGCTAGAACACTGTGGGAGCTTGTATAAGCTAATCCATCTCCCTGAGCCTCAGTTTCCTTGTCTATAAAATGTGAATAATAATGCCCAGCTCATGGGGTTGTCAGGATGAGCATGTGGCTGTACCCAACACGAGGCTGACTGAATGAATGAACCTGGGAGAGACACCTGATCGTTCCCCACTGAGAGTCAGTCTGGAAACAACCACAGATGGAATCCTTGTCAATCAATCCTCTTGAACTTCCCAAAGGGAAGGGAGTTGGGCTGTTCCGATAAAAAGTCCCACTGTAAGGTGCTGATGATTTGGACAAGCTGTGCTTAAAAGACACAAGTGCCACATTAAGTGCCTTAAATGTGACCATCGTCTGGGGCAGCCCTCTTTCCTGTCCCTGCTCTCACCTCTTACCTGTTCTTCAAATTCTAAAGCCTCACTCTAGGTTATTTACTACAATGGCCCCATTTGAGTCAAGGAATGGGACATCGGTGGGAAGAAGGGCAAAGATTGATTGAACATTTTCAATTAAAAGAAGCTGTCTTTGAACAAAGATTTAAGATCCAGGCAAGGAGAGGCAATAATTCTCTTGGAAGGGACTCTTAAATATATTGCAGTATTAAGAGAGAAAAAAATTGGGGTTAAAATTCCCAACTCTTCATTGTCCGCAAAAATCTCAGGATAGTCTGTAAATTGAAAATCACTATCCTCAGAGTCTTATGGAGGTCATTGGTCTGCTTCTCACAGATGGCAGAGAATGGCCAGCCACGCGGGGCCAGTGGCATCAGGAGCCTCAAGCAATAAAGCCGGAGGGTTCGGCTGAGATAGTTGGAAACTCAGACTGATCTGGTGACTTCTGTCCAGATTGTTTTGAAATAAAGGGTGTCAATCATCCCAGCATCCCCTTTCACTGAGCTCTTCAACAAGTGACAAGGATTTGGGTATGCACTGTCCATTTTCATGCATTCATTCACTCATGCATTCATTCACATAGCTGTTGTGTACATTGCTATAAAAGGTGAAAGAGATTGGGGCTAGATAAAAAAGAATTAAGCAGATACACTTTATAGTCCAAAGGAAGAGACTGACGTGTCCCAGTTACCAAGCAGGCTGGGGCACTGTCACCTTCACCAAAGCAACTACTATTTTTTGAAAAGTTCACTCAGTGCTGCATAGTTACTGTCACCAATCCTCAGGACAGCTCTTCAAGGTCAAAGCACGGGACCGCACATATTTCACAGATGAGAAAATTGAAAATCAGAGAGTTTACATAATTAACCTACAGTCTCATGGCTTGAAAGTGACAGAGGAAACACACGAACCTCAGTGTCTTCTAAAAACATGCTGTCTGCTCTGTCAAGTGCCATCGTAAATCCAGACACAGAATTCTGCAGACGTGGAGAGAGAGATTAAATTCCAAATGGATAAATTGTGAAAGGTTTCGTGGATGTGGGCGTACAACAGACTTGAAGGATGAAAACAAAAAGAGTAGAGAAAGAGAGAGACAAGTGTCGGCAGAGGCCCAAGTGTGGCCTGTCCTATGACCTGAAATAGGACAGAGAAGGACTGAGGGCCCAGGTAGCTGAAGTGCTCAGTTAAAGGTGGGCACTCGCTACTAGACTGTGAACAGTCTAGTGAAGGCTTTGATTGTCAGGTTTGACTGTCCACTCTTAGGTTATGTGTCCCCTCCTCAGGGAGGCCTGCCCATGTCCCCATGGTCCTCAGTTTACAGACTGTAGGCAAAAAGGAAAAAAAAAAATCCATGGGTCCTATCTATCATTCCATCACTCAATACATATTTATTGATCATGTAGTGTGTTCAAGTTCTTTGGAAAGCTCAAGATATACTCTGATTAAAAACCAAACCAAGACAATGGTTTTGTGCCTCTAAGTTGTTGGGTCTTTGGGTCACAGTGATTAAAACAACGATGAAGTAAAGAAAGGGAGCAGGGTATGGGCAGCGCTGGGGACAGGGAGCAGACTGCAGCATTAAGCGGGGTGGTCATGAGAGGCCTCACTGAAAGGCAGGTTTGAGTGGATTTGGGAGGAGGCCACTGAGGTGACCAGCACCAGGGTGAGTTGAGCCTCCTCATCTAAAACACCAGCCTTGACTGGTCATTTCAGATTCAAGCTCTTGTGAAGCCTGGCCCAATCCCCAACTGAGCCTAAAGCTTGAACTGGGGAGAAGTCCCCCTCTGGTGGGGGTCAGGAACACCTCCTTCTTGGCACAGGGACAGTCTTCTGAGGGGACGAGTCCCCACACCTTCTCCCTCTTGGTCTGTGGCCTCCCTTCCCTGTTCTGCTCCTTCCTTCATGGATCCTCCTCTCTGCAGTCTTCTCGTGGCCCTCCCTGCTGCTCTGTCCTGCCCTGCAGGGCACAGAGGACCACTCCACTCATCAGTGTGCATCTTACTTCCTCCTTCCCCTGGACTTGTGTCTTGGGCATCTCTGTGTTCCATTCTGCAGACAAGAGTCATTCGTCTGGTGAGACACACACTTGGCACGAGGAAGACTCTCAGCTCCAGTGCACCAGGATTTATTCTGTGCACCAGGATTGTCCTGAGAGCTGGATAAAACCAAGAGATACAAGACGACCCCAGTCTTCACCATTGTCTTTCCTAGCCATTGTCCTGCCTCCAAATAAGAAAACTTAACTCTGATCTGCTTCCTGTTTGGAAACCTCCACCTAGAATTGTTTCTCTGCTCACATTCCTACCCCTGCCAGCCACAGATGACCATCATTAAAGGGGAAAGATTAATTCTGCAGAGGGGTTGGCCAAGGAAAAGTGATTTCTCTTTGGTAAAGCTGACAGCATTGCTAGAGTATTAAGAGGCACCTGTCTAGGAGCCTCTAGGGAAAGCCAGAAGAACAATGCAACAAGGAAAAATCTTTGTCACTGCCTCCCTCGCCAGTCCTCCCACGGTGTTGGACAGGTGTGTGACTAAACAGAAGAATTCTTTTCTTAAGCACGGTGTGGAGGCTGCAGATGTAATCACAGAGTCCTCTGTGATTCCAGGCAAGTCCCCAGGCATCCCTGAGGCTGAGGTTTGGAGGACCCTGTGTGGGTAGGGGGGTCGGGGGACAGCAGGAGGGAACACTCCAGATAGACAAGTAGAGGCAGAGACCAAAAGAAAAAGAGATGCACACAGACAGGAAGCTACAAAGAGAAATTCATCAGGATAAAGCAGGAAGATAAAGAGAGAAAGATATTCAGAGGGGCCAAGAGAGACTCAGACCTGAAGACTGCAGAGAAACAGAGCGAGGGACAGAGAGGGGTAGGAAAATAGGTAGCAAATGACAGAGAGGGAGAAAAGTCATCAGAGAGAGTGAGAGACAATAGGGATAAAGAGGAGAGAGGGAGGGAGAGAGAAGGAAAGGGGTAGGAAGACAGAAGACGAAACAGCACTCAGAGGGACCCACGGGGGCAAAGGCAGAGAAACAGGAGTATAAGAAGCAGGTAGTAAAGAGGAGAGAGGAAAGAGAGAGAGCCAGGAGAGGCCCAGGTGGCCGCGAGGGCAAGGGGGAGACTCCAGCAGTGAGTGACATGAGGGGAGGCGTCCTCTGGACATGTAGAAGGAGCTCCACAGGACAGGGGCTTTCTTCAAGGCCTACTCCAGAGTGGGACCACCTACCTGCGAATGGGGGAGAGGGATGTCAATCATCCAAGAACGAATCTGAGTCTGGGATCACCGTGAGGGTCTGTGTTAGATTCTATTGTTACTGTAAAAAGTCAACCATCATTTGATGGCTTAAAACAACAGGACATAATTTTCTCCCAGTTCTGGAGACTCAAAGTTGAAAATCAGTTTCTCTGGGTCAAAATCAAGGTGTCCACAGAGCTGCGGTCCCTCTAGAGGTTTCAGGGGAGAAATCCGTGACTTCTGGGGGCTTCATTCCTTGGCTGTGACCACAGCACTCTGGTCTCTGCCTCCAAGTCCGTACTTCCTCCCTCTCTTGAGTCTATCACATGTCCATCTGCCTCCCTGGCATCAGGGTGCATGTGATTGCATGCAGTGCTCTCCCTCAATAATCCAGGATCCTCAACAATAACATCTGCAAAGATGTTTTCATTTAAAACATAAATTTGCTGGGCCTGTAATCCCAGCAGCTTGACAAGCTGAGGAAGAATCACGAGTTCAAAGCCAACCTCAGTAACTTAGTGAGGCCCTAAGTGACTCAGCAAGACCCTGTCTCTAAATAAAATATGAAAAAGGGTTGGGGATGTGGCTCAGTGGTTAAGCGCCCCTGGGTTCAATCCCCAGTACCAAATAAAAGAGTGTGGGGGGCGGTAACATTGATAGGTTTCAGGGATTAGGTCTGGATATCTTTGGATGTCATTATTCACCCTACTCCATGCTCCTGTGAGTCCATCTGCTTAGCTAAGAGCTAAGAATGAAGATGCTCAAGGTGTCAGGAGTGGAGTTCTGCCCTTATCTCTTATCTGAACTATTGCTTCAGCCTTCTAATTGCTCTTCTGGCCTTCAGTTTCTTCCATTATTGCTGAGAATGACATTCTCACAATTGCTAATCTTGTCACTTCTTGACCTTCAACCCCACACTGATTCCCTGTCACCTACAGGGTAAGATCTAAACGTTCAAATCTGGCCTTCATGACTTCCATGAAATGATCTAAGCCTTATCTCCAGACACTATATCCTGCCGGGCATCTATTTACAATGTGGGGTTTAGAAGCAGAGCTTTCATTCTGTCTCCTACACGTTTCGCTGCGTGGCCTAGGGCAGCTTCTCTGAGCCTCAGTTTTCTCATCTCTAAAATGGATAATGCTCACAGGATTATTATGTCAATTAGAAGTTATACATTCAAAGTTCCCAGCACAATTCTGACACACAGTTGCTCCTTATATTATCATTATCATTTATGAAACTGTCATCTCCAACAAAGTGTGAACTCTTCAAGCACAAGGGTACGTCAAGTTCAGTGTGTCTCCAGAGAGATTCAGCACATGGTTGGCCTATTCACAGAGAAACAGGAAAACAAAACAAAGCAGCAACAAGAGGGAGGGAGAAAGAAAAGGGCAGAGAGACGAGGAGAAGAGATGAAGAAATCGTTGTTTTTTTTTAAAATCTCTGCTTTCTGGATGTTCAGGAAAGGAGCCTGAGATCTCTTCCAAGCTGTGTGTCTCATTTTATTCTTCTATAAATTGCCTGGAGGTTGAACCAGATGATCGCTAGGCCTAATCCTCACTCTCTCTGCTCCACCCAGAAGACAAATTTCCCTGGAGCAAGGGGAAGTCTTTTCTGACCAAGGAGATGATGAGAACCAGTCTTGGGCATGAAGGTGGCACTGACCACTTGGCTGGAGAAGTTGGGAGAGAAGTCGGCACAGATGCAGATCTGAGCTCAGGTCCAACATGCCTGATTCTGGGTGGAATGACCTTGGGGGAGTTTTGGATTTCAGATAGGCAGGCTGGTGTTATTCATTCATTATTTGTTTTTCATTGATTTATTCAACAGATATTTATCAAACACCAGCGTGCTGGGCCTTGCAATACATGCATGACATCACACATGGTGGCTCTGTGGCGGTGAACAAAACAGAGATGTCCTGCCTTGAGCTGCTTACAGTCCACGTTCTACTGATATTTTGGGCTGGATGATTCTGCACTGTGGCACTGTCCTATGCATTGTAGGGTATTTAGTGGCATCCTTGGACTCTCTCACTCATTAGTAGCAGGTGACAATCAAAAAATTCATGGGGGTGGTTGGACAGGGATTATGTAGAGTGGACGTGTCACAGGGGAAGCAGAAGAGGTGGGCAGGGACTTGACTGAGAGGGGCCTTGGCTTCTGAATCTGTAAAAGGGACAGTGGATGGGAAGGGAGAGGGACTTGACTGTCACAGGCTGCATTAACCCCGGAGGGTGGCTATCTCAGCCCCCTCACACTATTTTGTCAGGGAAGAGCGACTTCCCTCCATCCCCCCCAACACACACACACACACACACACACACACACACACACACGCCTCAGTCCTTGAGGCGTTCCCACTTCCCTACTTGCCCAGATTACAGGTGTTTCCATCTGTCCGTCTCAGACCTGCTTCTCACTTTAGAGAGACATGATCCTCTCCCTCCGGTTCCCCCTCCTCTTCCACTCCAAGCACCAGCAATTTCCCCACTGACAGTTGACCACGGCTCTGGAAATTGGCTTTTGCAGCCCAGCTGGGCCGCAGTTCAGCAATTGTTAGGACTTTAATGCCGCTTGGCCTGAGAGAGGGTTCTGTTTCTCTGAGAGATGCTCAGCCCCTACTTGTGTATATATTTTTAGAAGCGTCAACTGATACTCAGTAAAAACAAGACCAAAGACCAAAGTAAATATTTGCACAGCACTATCTCAGAGCATCAGGGAAGGAAGAGGGAGGAGGGGCATAATACGAACAGGAACACTGATGATCCTGGTGTCGGGCTCAGCTCTGTTTCTGGGTGGATGCATGGCCTGTGCGAGGTGAGTCTCTGGATCAGTTTTCCAATCTGTACAGGTGGAGGAGGGATTGCCTTGCTGATGGGCTGAAACCCTTGAGCTCTGATGTTCTGTGAGCCTCTAGGTCAGGAGTTCCTGCCTGGGACCCCTAGGGGCTTCCTGAACCCTCTGATATTATAGGCAAAACTGTATATGTGCATGTGAACTTGCTGGGGTGAATATTCATAATGTTCTGCAGGTTTCAACATCCTTCAAAATGTTAAGAATCTCTGTGCTAGGTCTGTGGGTGGAGATGATTGCGTTTATCACCACTTCTCAGGAAATTGCCCCTCTTGTCATTTCTCAACCCATACCTTTCTTATATTCTGACTTTTCTGGGATTAGTGAGAATCTGGCAGTGCTGAAAAGTGAGATCAGGATAGACTTGGAATGGCATGAACAGAAGTAGAGCCTGTCCTAAGTGCATGTGCATTACCTTAACTAGAAAACCTTGAAGAGTCCAGGGACCCAGTTTACTGTAGGAGTCAAAGAATAGCTCAACAAAGGTGATTGCTAGTGGGTAACTGTGAAACCCAGCTGGGGCCTGGCCATTCTGTGGCTGAGAATTGGGGATCAGTCTTTGGGACACATTGAGCCCTGGAACAACAACTTAAGAGGACCACTAAAGTGTTTGGAGCAGGGGCAGGATATAAGATCCTGGATCTTTAAATGAAGCCCACTCCCCATTCCTGTGTCTTCACTCCTAATCAGGCCTAAATCTGCAGCCCTTTCGTGCGCTGGTGGAATAAGCAGTAAGCAGTATCACAGGGGCCAAGAGACCCGTATTTGAGCCTCAGCTTTCACCAGCTGCTCTGTGACTTTGGGCAGGTCTCTGACTCCAGGGCTTCAAATTGTCCTTATGGACAATAGGAGGAATTGAGCTTCCTTCCCACTTTGACCAAGGGGTGATCATTACTACAGTGAACTCCACCATAATATCTCATTATTGGCCACCTCCATGCATTTAATCCTCATTTTGGGATGTCCTTTTTCCATGTCAAGCAAATAATCCCATCCCTAGGAAAGGTATTATTTGGGGCTTAAATACAATCTTTAGGGTCTTTCTGGCCCTAACATTTTATAGTTTTCTTCCCTACTCTACCTTCTTTTTAACTGTTCAAGTTCAAGACACAAAAACTGAAAATTAGGGATGGAATTAATGTTTATGAACACTTAATATCTTCCAGACACTGTGCTAGTTTCATTTGCTACTCACAAACAAGGTAGATTTTATTATCCCCATGTTACAGATTATAAGACTGAGGTCTTATCCAACATCACTCAGCTTGCAAGTAGAGGATGAGGACTTAAACTAGATCTGTCCAGCTACAAGGCCTGCTGCTTTTTAAAAGTTAGTATTACTCTGTAATTCCTTATTAACTCTTTAAAAAATGAAAGTATTCATTGACCTGATACTTATTGAGTATCTGCTGTGTGAGCTACCACTGCCATTGGTGTGGATTTGGAGATAAGAGATCTGCCCTTGTCCTGGAGCAGCCCATAGAGACGACATGTAAAAAAAGAAACAAAGAAAAATCGCGATTCAAGGCAATGACTCCTATGGCAGAGGGAAGTAAGTAAAGGAAGCAGGAGCTCAGAAGGTGACATCTGATATTGGAAGGACCCCAGAGGCTTAGGGAAGGCAACATCTGAGCTGAACTGAAAAAGCTAGTTGTGTGGGTTTTTTTTTTCTTTTGAGATGAGTCTTCATTAAACAATGTAGTCAACAAATAATTGAGAGTCTACTATATACCAGGCACTTTTCTAGTTGCTGGAACACAACTGCATGGGACAAGCTCTTCTAGCCTCATAAAGCTCACTTTATAGGGGAGTAGCAAACTGACAAATGGAGTATAAGGTTGAACACTGGAGGATTTGGAGGAAAAGCAGGACATGGCCAGGTAAAGAAGAGGTGGTTGTAGTCTAGTTATTGTGATTTTCTTGTACCTAAGGCCTATCTGACTACCAGACTGTCTCCGCCTCTCTGACAAATACTAATTAGAATTTACTTCATGTCAGGATATAAACATGCCTGTTCCATGCCTCCTCCTTCCTACTCTATTTTAGTAACAATAAGACCACTGGCCAGATTATAGCCCATGCGCTTATTTGTCCCTTGGGCAACAGGTATTTCTTTTACCAGTTTTGCGTCACTTCATGATTCCCCTCCCTGGACCGGTGTCCCAGACCCTCTGCACCATTGTCTCTAGGTGCCTTCTACTAGTTCTTTAGACCTCAGCCTAACTGAAGCCTTTCCTGACCTTCTGACCAAGTCATGGCCCTCCCAGCATATCTAAGCATCCTTTCATAGACTCTTACATCATAACTTTGCATTATAATGTGTGCTTTTTGATAAATATTTGCCTCTCCTATGAGACTACCAAGTTTGGTGGTTGCAAACATGCCTGCTCTGTTCACAGTATTTCCCAGTACCTAGCAGAGTGTCTGGCATACTAGGTGTTCAATTAAACATGTGCCTGTGAAAATATGAGTACTGCCAATGGTAGGCATTTGGAGAGAAATTTGGCCTCTTCCTCTTCCTGGGTCAGAATTACCTCAAGACTTCACTGAAGGGAGAAATGGTAGTAATAGTAAACTGAAAATAGGATTGCGAGAGAAAAAAGAAATTCTATAGGGAACCAGGATGGGTATTAAGGTAAACATCACAAACTCCAAAAGGTAATGTGGACTTGCTCTTTCTCTCTCTATCCTATGAAAGGAGGAAAAGTCCATCAGACCAAGGGCCCTGGAAAAGGGACTGTCTAATGAATAGAAGGAAGCCCTGAATACCATCATCTGATAGCCATTTCTAAGGAGGCTAGAGGTGTGATTCTTTCTTGGTTGCAGGAGTAAAAAGGTTTTGTGGAGGAAATGATGGCCTCTAGCCCATGCAGGTGAATCCTGGGGTAAAGGGGTCAGATTCCTTTGGCATTTAGTTATAGCTACAGGTACAGCTAAGGAAGTAATACTGGGCCCCAGGGACAGAGCTCCTCTTTTTTTTAACATTTATTTATTTATTTTAGTTTTAGGTGGACACAATATCTTTATTTTATTTTTATGTGCCACTGAAAATCGAACCCAGTGCCTCACGCATGCTAGGTGAGCGCACTACCACTTGAGCCACATCCCCAGCCCAAGAGCTCCTCTAGAACCATAGACCCTCAGAGCAATGTCCCCCCTCATGCAGAGCAGGGAGCCCTGGGTCTGTGCCGGGAAGGGACAAAGGGGAGCATGGCGTGGGGGCCACTAGACCTAGAATGTACCCCCTGCACCCATAATCTCCACTATCTCCACTGCTCTTTGTCTCTCTTCCCCATCAGACTGCCTTGCACTCCTTGAGGGCAAGCCTGCCTCTTCCCCAGTCTGAGACACCAGCAGATAACGCCTGTGGAAAGAACAAGTCAAGGACAAGTGGTCAGGCAAGTGATTCGCCCTGATCCTCTATTTCCTTGGCTATCATCTAGCTACTGACAAGAGCACTTTGGAGACTGAATGACATGATGGGTGTGGAAGCATCCAGAATGGAGTTTAACAAGAAGCTCATGCTCAAAAACAGGTCATTTATCCACTTTTTATTTGGCCTTAAACTACCCCGCCTTTTCTGGACTTGACAGTATGCCAGTGATTAGAGAATCATAAAATGGACGTGAGCAGAAGGTTCCAATAGTGGATATCTGTTTCATTTTATTTTCCTGCTTATTATGTTCCCTTCTCATGACACCCCCTTTTCCTCATATTGAACCCCCCAATCTCAGCTCTTGTGGCTCAGGAGGGGCTGATTCTTACCCACACTCTGGGAGCCACAACAATTAGTCAAGTATAGCTTATAGCCCCATGAAACTTAATTCTGGGCCTTGTGAAGCAGGGCACTACCCTTGCTGTAATTTACATCTTGAATATCCCACAAGGGTCCAAGTGTTAAAGGCTTGGTGCTCGGGGTGGCACTATTGGATGGTGGTGGAACCTTTAAGAGGTGTGGCCTGGTGAGAGGTCCTTAGGTCATTGGGGACATACCGTGGCCCCTTCCTCCTTCTCTCTTTTTGCTTCCTAGCCATGAAGTGAGAAAATTGGTTTCACAACACATTCCCTGACATTGCAACCCAGCACCCCCGCCAGAGGCCTAAGAGCAATAGGTCCACCTGACCATGGACTGGAACCTCTAAAATCATGAGCCAAAATAAACCTTTTTTCTTTATAAGTTGACCACTTCAGTTATTTGTTATAGTAAGAGAAAACTGAAAAACACAGCCCTTAATTCTGAAAGGATAAGATAACTACCAGGAGCTGCTGGCAGTCATATTATATTCATGGGGAGAGCTTTTAGCAGGATGGAGCCAACACTCAGAACACAGGTGAGGTGGTAGGCTTGGAGAGCTTGAGACCAACTCCTGATGACACTATGTGAGTCCCTCCATCTAGCTATGCCTGTATGACCAGACCAGTTTTCCTTTGGACTTAGAATTTTATAACCTAATTAACTCCCCCTTTTTATTTAAGTCCATTTGAGTTGGGGTTTCTGTTACTTACAACCCCATTTCAGCTAATAGAAGAAATTGGAATTCATCTCATCAAACCTCCTGATTTTACAGACAGGAAATAGATTTGCGAATTTACGTGAACAGTTTTTTTACACCCACCAGCTTTCCAAATAAATCGACTGCTTCACTTCCTTTTATCTTTACTGCTGACCAGAATAGGGGCAGGTTGTCCTTCTGCCTGGACGGGGTCATAGAATATTGATTTTGGTCACAGAATGCCTAATCTTGCTCCAACAGAGCAAATTTTAAAATTCAAGTCCTCAGGAGCCAGTTTTGTTTTGCATTACAATGTTTTGATCCCCCAAGCGGAACTGCTGATGGCCCATCCTTTTCCTTCCACACAGTGTAATCAGCAGCAATTAATTCTAATCACAAGAAGACAGCAAGAATGAACAGAGCATTAATTGGACAGAAGTAATCAGAATCTCCCTTAGCTCACAGTTGGTACTTGTATGCAGGAGGACGTGAGCAGCCACATGCATGTATACACACACAGTCTACAGGCCGTCAAAGGTATGTGATGTGGAAGGAAAGAGAACAAAGTCAGCGTGGGGTAGTGGGTGGTGGTGGGGGAAGCAGGGACTTTGGAATCACAAAGATCTCACCACTAACCAGTTGCTTAAAACTATCTTCCTCATTTATAAAACGGGGACACACAGGCCTACTTCAAAGTGGTTTAGAATGTTAAATAAGAACACTGCCTGAAAAGCACTCTCTACTGGTACATGGCAGGAACTCTGTAAGTGCCAGCTCTCTCTCCTTGCATATCAAAGCCTCTTGTAGCTGGTAGAGAATGGAGACCAAAGGTGATCTGAAATGTCTGATCCTTGAATGTTCTTGATTTAGCCCTACCAAATTGATGTTCTCTAGACTTCTCCCTTAATGTTGAACCACTGCCCTCCCCAATCTACCCCAACGCCACACACACACACACACACACACACACACACACATGCGCGCGCGCGCTACCTCCTCCTGCCTCTTTCCACTCTGGAGTTGTGAATTCTGGGAGGACACCGGGTTCCCCTGAGCCCTTCTCAGCACCTGGTAAACAATGAGTGGACTCTTGTTGAGGAAGTACTAATGGAGCCTGTGTCTTTGCTCACGTTCGTTCTCTCTCTACCTGCGGTATTCAGCATCTCCATCTTGCTCTCAGTCCCGGTCATCCTTTGAGGCTTAGCCTAGAAACTTCCACTTCCTCCACAAAATCTTTGAAAATTGTTCCTGAGAGAACTCTCCCCTACTCTGAACTCTGCCCTCTTCCGTGACACCAGAAACCTATTATCTTTTGTGATACGATCTCTGTGAGTGCTATTTCTTCTCCACCACCTGAAGTTCCTTCACTCAATGATTCAGCCTCCTTAAGCCATGATGGACACTGAGGGGCATCAGAATGTGCTGTGCCCTAGAGGTGCTGAGGTTCAGACTAGTGTTTGAGTACTGTGTTTTATCTATCTGTCAATGTCCTGGGCCTTGGACCATGATGGGTGATTTTTAAATATTTGATGATGACAGTGGGTTGCCTAGGAGAAGGTATCTGGCTGGAACGTTGCTGGGACTGGTGAGGTTATAAGGCCAGTGAGCTTTCTGAGGTTGGGTGTGGGTGCCTAGGCTTCCTGAGGGAAAGGAGTTGACATTTCAGAGACAGATGGGACATGTAGAATGCATTCAAACTTGACAACACTGAATAAGCTGTGACTTGGTGCAGGAGTATTTGGCTTTTGCTCTAGCCTGGGGTCGGGCCTGCCTTTGTCATCAGGTTTCACAGGATGTTGAGCAGGTCACTCACTCTCTGGATAGCCATTTAGCCATCCTATTTTATTCAGCCACCAATTATGAACATTTATTGTGTTCCTGGCACTGTGCCTACCCCTGGAGATACAGAGGTAACTCAGATATGAGTGGCAACTTTGGAGGGCTTGTGGTCTAGTAGGCATTATGAAATAGGCCATCAAAGATCATGTAGCATCTCTGCATTGGTGGTTTGGATTCCTTATTGCTTTCTGGATAAGTTCCCAAGCTCCTTTTCCTGATGTCAGATCCTCTTATGATCTGGCTTCTCCCAATTATAGCATCAGTTACCAACTTTTGTACTGAGCCTTTGGAACTTGTGGTCACACTTTCTGACTGTGCTTTCCCAGATGGTGTTTGAAAATGTCCTATGGGACAATTAACCAGCAAGATGGTGGTGTTATGTGTCAACTTGACCGGGCCATGGGGTGCCCAGACTACTTGGCCAAATATCATTCTGAGTGTTATGTGTAAGGGTATTTCTGGATGGGATGAACATTTGAATGGACAGACCAAGTAAACCATGTCACCCTTCCTAATGTGAATAGGCTTCACCTAATGGATGGAAGACCTGCCTGACTCCTATTTAACTGCTGGAGAAAGGACATTGGACTTTCCTGGCTTTTGCACTAGAACTGGAACAGTGGCTCTTCCTGGGTCTCAAGTCCTCTTTCAGACTGGAACTCCCACCATTAGCTCTCCTCATTCTCAGGCCTTTAGACTTAGACCCAGTCTCTCCTGGGACTCCAGCTTGTTGATTGGATCTTGGGATTTCTCAACCTCCTTAATTGGAGAGTGTGTGTGTGTGTGTGTGTGTGTACATAAACATAGAATCAATAGGAGATGCAGACTTCTAGATCTATGTCTGCTAGTGGTTCTGTTTCTCTGGAGACCCCTGACTGAAGCCACCAGATTGCAGGCTGTGAGCTTGACTTCCTGAAGAATGTTGCTTTCAGTGGTGATGGAGACATCAAGCCTCCTCAACAACACCCAACCTTCCTTTTCCTTGCATCTTGGTTCTGCCCTTCCTTATGGTTTTCTCCTTGGGGAATAAGTATTCTACAATATAGGAAAAAGGGGTTTTTGAGGAATTCCACTGCATGGAGCTAATGGGACCCTGAGAGATCACAGGCCTTGTATTCTGGAGCAGTGAGGTGCTTGTCCGTGGCTCCAGGCTTTGCAGACACTTGTGCAATGCTGTCCTCTTCCTTCTAACCTTGCTTCTCCTCTTGGTGAATGCTTACTCAGATTGAGTTCAACATCAGGCCATTTGAAAAGTCTTCCTAGACTCCTTAAGGTTGAATTGGCTCTGTGCTCTGTTCTTCACAGAATTCTGTGCATATCTTTTCCTTAGCATTGATCTGCCACCTCTGAGCTAGATAAAAAGGCAGGCTCAGTATGTAGGGTACCAGTTGTCTGTCATTCACAGTGGGATGATTGTAAAGATGTAGCAAGTTGGAGAAAATCATGTTCATCAAAGTCTTCACCAATATGTACTTGGGAGGAAATTTGGGACTCAGATGACAACCTTTGCTCAAAACATCTAGCCCAAAGTGGTTGTACTGAGATTTGAATCCAAGACTGACTTCAAAAGCAAGGATCCTGTTGGTTATTCACTCAATAAAATATGTTAAATGATAATATGAGCCAGGAGCCATGCTAGGCACCAGGGTGCGAAAGTTCAGGTGTGCCTGTCCAGGGTTACTGCCTGCAGTGGCAGAGGAGGAGGGCCAAATTCCTCATGCTAGGTCTCTGGGGCTGTCCCATGGATGACCTCACCACCAGGAATCTCCACAACCAGTCTCTCCTTCCCTCCCCCTCCTCCCTCCCTCCCTCCCTCCCTCTCTCTCTCTCTCTCTCTCAACACTTCCTCAGAACAACCCCTTTTCCTGCCCCTAAATTTCTGGCTGTGCCCACTGCGGAAAAAGCCAAGACTGCTGCCAAGTTCATTAATAATTTTGGCTTTCTGGAGGAAGAAGTTGGATTGCTTTGCTCTTCAAATATCAAAACATCCAATTAACACAGCTAATTAGCATCACTAGCAGCAGTCAAAAGAATAGCAATTTAGATGCAGGATTTCAAAGGTTTCCTAGTTGTGGGCCAAGGCAACCCATCTCTTGCTAATGACAAGAGTTCCTCACTTAGGCAATTCTATAGCAGCCATCAATTAACCACTGGGCAGAGACTGGCCTCATCCCTGAGTCATTTGTCTAATCAGAACTGGGGACAGAGAAGAAGAAACAGAAAGGAGAGGGAGAGAGGACAAGAGGAAGAGGGAGAGATGATAGAGATGGTGTGGGAGAATCAGAGTGGGAGAGGGAAAGAGAATTAGGAAATGAAAAACAGGGAGAGAAAGGCAGAGAGAATATTTCAAAGATAAAGAAATTCTCAGCGACAGAATGAGAAGCAGAAAAGGTGATTTACAGATAAGCAGACAGGCAGATCACCAGATAGGTGCCCGGAAAAAAATAGATTTCTTGAAACCCAGAAAAGGAATGGCGAAGAGCTTCTAGTCACCAGCAGCTCCAGGGGATGAGCTGATCCCTGGGAAGCTGTAGAACTGGGCTTAGCTGTGAGAGTTCAAATTAAAAACTGGCAAAGCTTGGCTGCTGCCATGAGATGTAAGAGAGAGAGTGGCCAGGAGACCACATTCAGGGCTGTCCTCTTACCTTTGGGCCCTGAACATTGCACTTCCCAAGAGCCTCACTTTCTCTTTAGAAGGTGGGTATGCGGCCAGACCCCTTTTTTTTGTGCACAGTCACTGAACATCCAATGAACTCAGTAAGGCCCAGGATCCCACACTCAAGAAAGGTGGAGAAAGGTCCCAGCTGAGTGCCTTTGCTCCCCTCCATCACGGGGCCTCAGCCCCAAGCTGCCTCGCGATCGCTCCTCTAGTTACTGCCACAGCCTCTGGTCTCTCCCTGCTGCCACCCAAACCGTTCTTATCACCGTTGCCAGAGTGATATTCCTGTGATGCCGATCTGACTACATCCTTTCCTGACTTAAACCTCTTTAATGATTCCGCATTTTCTCTGGATGGAGTCCAAACCCATTAAATAGGGACCTCCCTCTGGGCTCGGGCTCCCCTGCCTTCTCCTGACCCCTCTCTCCCTCTCCCTACTCAGGCTCCAATCCATCTGGGCGACACACTGGCTTTACCTCTGGGCTTCTCTGCATCCTGTCTGGCATTTGCAATGTCCCAGAGACCCCTGTCCATGCTGCGTGCCTTGCTCTGTCTGTGCTCTGCCCCCCCGCCCATTTTCCCAGCATGGAGACTCATCCCTCTTACTGCCCATCCCTCTTACTGCTGTCTTCTCCAGCATGTGCAAAAGAGTCACTCAAATGGCTTCCAGGGACAGGTACGTGATGTAAATATGTGCAGTGACAGATACGGAAACAACGGGGGGGGGGGCTGTCAGTGACAAGTTGGACAGTAAATGCTCCCCTCAAAGAACCTCAAACTGAAAATTCAACCAACCAACTCACCAGCTCGCAAACATGTTCCTGGCCCACACCACATCTGCAGGAAGGAGGCAGCGTGGCTGCCAGCGGCTCCCCGCTCTGTGACCTAGACTCCTAGTTTGACCTACAGGGTTCTCTGGGCTCAGACTCTATCTTCTTGTGCTGGCCTTTTGCAGCTGGTGCCCTGTTCAGGGACATTTTCACAGTCTCTGTGACTCCTTCCCTTTGGGCCTTGCAGGGGTGTAACCTGTGGGTAAATA